GGGACCTATTTAATTTAGTATCTTTATTAATGACTTAGTTTCGTGTCGCCACAACTTCCACATATATTTGTATGCGGATGAGCCTACGTGGCGGTGTGGATGATCTGGTTAGGCGTATTAATGATGATTTAGTTCGCGTTACCTCTTGGTCCGATTTAAGTAGTGTAATGTTAAATACTTTTGATTTCCACACTTTACCACCTGTTAAAGTACTGGATGAAGATGGTGAATTTGGTAGTAGCATTTTTAGCCTTGGTTTTAAGCTCGACTCTCGGTTGGGTGCTGAGAATAATATCAATTCTGTGGCAATGCGCGCTCCCAATATTCTGAGGAAATTCTGAGGTTCTTCATCCTATGTTCTCACGTTCACGGAGGTGACTGATTAAAGACCTATCAGTATCGCTCACGTCTTATGGGGTCATCGGATATGGCAAACTTGATTGCAAGGGGTTGTTAAAACGGACGATGAATTTAGTCCTTCCTGACCCGCGTATCTATCATCATTAAGGCTATTTATTGTTAATGAGGTAAAGTTGTGGAACTCGTTGCCACTCAGTATAGCATCTACAACAGCATACTATTGCTCACAATTGTGCTAAAAGAGAATCTATAGTCTTATGGGCATTTACATTTTTATTAATTAGGATAATAATTATTATTGTATAACTGTATATTCATTAATGATTGTTCTTATTAATTAGAATATATATACATTATAGGGTCTCTGAAGCGTCTTTTTAGGTGCTAAATACATTATAGGATAGGATAGGACAATAAATGTACCCCATTTTACAGCGGTGGGTATAAAAACAAGAACTAAATCCAAATTTCTCCAGCAGGAAATACAATGTGAATTACTTTTTTTAATAATATAAGATGGGTCAAGCTCATCGCAGTGAAGAAGAAAGCCGGTTAGTTCATTGGCTTTGAAATCGAGGAAAAATATACAAATTTGTCGCCGGAGCACTATACATCCATGGGGGTTACACAATTAAGTTTTTATCTAAACACTTATCTAAACACAGACTTTTCTTGCCATAGCTCGCCATCATTTATCTATGACAGGCACTTTTAGTTATATTTTTTAGGTTATCCACTCAAGCGAAGTCGTTCAATCGTCTTTGGCTTTCCATAATTTTAATATTTTTTTGCAAAATTTCACACTTGCTTTTAAACGGTTATACAAACTGCAACTATTTATAATCAAATCACACTCTTATAGGTTAAGAAAATATAAACTTGAGCACAAGATTTCTTAACACTCTCCTTACGAATATATAAATATAAATGAGAAAAAACAATTCCCGCCTAAATTTATAATGGATGGTATCTAACACGGTAACAGTAATTTGTTAATCACGAACGGCTGCGGACACAACCATTGTAAATAGAGAACTACTTTTTATACAATTTCTTGTTTGAATATTTCCAGTTATGATAACATTACTTGTAACACCTAAGCGTTAGTTTGGTCTGTCCGTAAAAGCTTTTCAATATTTGTTTATGTATGTACATAGATTTAAGAAAGAATGAAAACAAAAAACATGATTAGTCAAGCTGTGGTGTGTGTGTGTGTGTTCGTGTGCGTGTGTTTATGTTAAGATCGCAAAAACATGGCTTTCAATGTTTAATAAGATAGACCATAGTTAGGCAACGGTTTTCCTTTTTCATTTTTTCCCCATGCAAGTTAACTATTATACTTGGCGAATATTGAAGTGCATTTGTGCTTTATAATCACTTTTGTCTCAAATTTATATGTTGTTATGGCGTTTTATGATTTCTTTACTCTTTAGTTTTTCGTTTTTTTTTTCTGTTTGCATTTGTTGTTTTTTCAAACTGTTGCACTGCACGTAAGTAGATAAGTAATGCTAGTCATAACTGTGTGGAAAATGCGCTAATTAACAGTAGCCGGTAGATTGGTATGTATGTGTAAAAATTAACACCTATGTCTGCCAACTTAAATCCATATAAAATCGCGTTTTATGAGAGAATTAGTTTCGTAAAATGCAATCTTTCGACACAAGTGCAAGTCATAAGTCGTACATACAAACGTTATAATGCACGGTTTCAAATGCAACAACAAATCACCGACTTTAACAATGACATCGTAAATGTTGATTATGAAAATAGCTTTTTAGCTACGCTATGAAACGTGAATTTTAAGAATTTTTGGAAAATTGCTTTGCCCGGATGATTAGTAGCGTATAAGCACGATGAAGTTACAGACTTTAGTTAATAAAGCAATTTGCATGGAAAAATTAAAAGTTTGAGAAAATTGTCGAAAAATATTTTTTAAACTCGTTTATTTTTCCATTTTTCATACGTTTTCAACGGCTTTGTTGTCTTTTTTTTGCGCTTTTGAGCCATTTTCGATCTGCCGATCCCATGAAGTAAACAATAAATAATTAAGCGCGAAACTAAAATATTAAGGCTTGATTTATATGAATATATTCTTCAAAATATATTATTTGTCTACTGAACGCGGTGATTAAAAAATTGATTGAAGTAACAAATGTTACAATGGTTTTTTTTTTTTTTTTTTTTAATTAACTATGGACTGTCGTCTTTCACTTGCAATAAGTACGGCTTAAGAAGATTCGAAGGAAGGAAAGAAGGGTGAAAGGACAGACGGTATCGCAAATCCACCCACCTGCATTCAGAATTTCACAGTAATCAAGAATACTTGCATATGAGCTATACAGTATCGAGAGAAATTGACTAGCATTATCAGAAGATCATATGATTCTATAAAGCGAGATATTATAATAAAATAATTGAAGGGAAATATAAAGAAGGGAAAAGCGAACTTCTTTTAATGTTTTCAATATCGGACATAAAAAAACGACTGAGACGCCTAAGCTATCGTAGATTACACCATGTAAGTTACATTCTGCTAGCGACGGACAAGACGAAGATAGACTTGCTCTTAGGTTCACCATCAACCTCCAGACGTTCTGCTTTTAATACAGTTCACGTCTCGTAACAAATTATTTTTTATATAGCTTATTTGCTTGTTCGAGAATATGGTTTACCTTTAGGGTCGTTTTTTTTAAATATCAAATAAAATAAAAATATAGTGAGACATAAAGTATAAGAAACGCAAAGTACAACTGGTCTTGTGTGTAGTGCAATCCTTCATGCTTGTAAATATACTTCGTGATGACTTTTTATGGAATGGAAACCGTATCGGAAAAAAGTTGTGTAATTAATATTTCTACATAAATTTTAACTCACTTAAAAAAAACTTTAAAAACGTATTTTCCTGATTGAAAAGCAATGTTTATAGCATCTATTACCGTCTGTTGTCATATTAGCATATACCCACTTTGTTGTTCCAAAAAGTCGGGTTGGAAAACGTATGTATTAAATACGTTCATATTCAAATCTCTAGAGGATTTTAGATTCGTTAAAAGTCAGAGAACTGAAAGCTTCTCTTGAAGCCAGGTAATTATGAAGAGATAATTAATAATATTAAAAAAATAAGTAAAAGGAGACCTTCTATCTATTGCACCCTCTTATTTTGAAGGAACGAAACCCCATTGCAAATTTTTAACAATATCATGGCTTTGTTCAGTGAGAGTATGACTAAACCAAAATGGATTTTGGAAATTGTGATAGCTTTTCTTTTAAAAAACCTTTTGGGAATTTAAGGATTTTTCTTACTCCAGTCGTTACTAGATATAACCTCAACATTAGCCAATCAACAGTTACAATTAGAGAGGTGGAAAGGTTTCAGAGTCGATTGGGAACTCTATTTAGGTAATATTTTTTCAAGCAAGGTCAGAAAGTTGAAACTTGGTATTAACGTTTTTCTCAATTTATAGGTTTTTACACCTTCAAACTCTCTCTCTCTCTCTCTCTCTCTCTCTCTCTCTCTCTCTCGCTTTCTTCTTACACGAATAGAACAGGCATAAGGAAATTTCTGTGTAATTTTATTATTATTAACAACCAACAGATAAACTGAGACTTTTCTAAAGATCTCAACCGGCTCCAATAAATACAGCATTAGCGTTAATACTTCATACGGCTACGAATTTACAACAACTAGCGATGAATAAATGTTTGGTTTGGCTGAATAGTATAAAATATCAGCAAGCATTAACAACGTTATATATTGAACTAAATAACAAAAAAAAAAGTTGTTTTTTTATTTTCAGTTTTCCAAAAGAGTTGAAAAATAAACAAATAAAACTTAAACGATCGATCGCATGTATGTGTGAAAATTATAAAACAAAAACAAAAAAGGAATAAATTTTAAAAACGTTTTGACTGCTGTTGGTGCATTGAGGCTGACGGTTGTTGAAAGTTTTAAATAATTCCATGGCGTTCAATACGATAGTATTTGCTTTTCAGTGCTAAGGAGTTATAATATCTGTTTACCAACAATCGTTCGTAGATTCATAGTGAAGAGTTGTTATTATGTAGTCAGTCAGTCAGTCAGCCATGCACTAGCAGCTCATAAGTCAAAGTCGAGATGCCGTAAAACGGCTTTGAAGGAATGGTTGCACTCTTCAATATTTTATGAGTTTTTTTTCGTTGTTTCTCTGCTGCCCCTTTCGTTTCAAGTCTCACCTATTTCATTAAGCTGATGTTTTATTTGCTTTTAAGATTTCAATACATAAGTTTTTGTTGTTATTATTGCTTACGTTGTTTGTTACTGTTGCTCATCTTCGTTTTTTTTTTTTTTTTTATTTGTTTCTACTGCTGATTTTGGCATCTTTTGGAATGAATGACAGGTTGTTGAAAAATTCAATTTATCTGAACGTTTCAGTTAACTGAGCTGCACAACGGGCGCGACACATCACTAACAGACATTTGTGACGTAAATTTTAATTTTTGTTTTTTAGTTTCCTTGCTCTCTTTGTCTAACTTTAACTAGCACGCGACACGGAGGGAGAGTAAGTGAGAGAGAGGACAAAAGTATTTCAAGATTTTTTTTAAAGAGAAATTTAAAAAAAAGGGAGTTTGAAAACAGAAAACTTTCATTTAAAACTTGACAGGTCCCAAGGATTGTGATATACCGAAGGCGGCATTGTCGGCTTTGCATGCCGGCGTCAATAGCTTCGGTCAGCTAACGAGTGTCGCCAACCATCCGACGGCGGAGATTTCTCTAAATGGTTCTGGAGCCCGTTTGCATGTCTCCGCTAATTTATGTGAAACCACAAATCCCATTAATAACAATAATAACGGCGGTGGCGGTGGCGGTGGCGGCAATCACAATAACCAGAATAATAACAACAATAATAACAACGTTAGCCATAATAGCAATAACAATATGCAACAACAGGATCAGGTAAGTAGCATCATTACCAATAAAATTAAATTATGATAAAACCTATAGATATACATTATAATACATAATAATAATCAATGTTTGTACTTTTTTCTTCTTTCGATGTTTTCTTTTTTCTTAAAAAACAAAAATAAACAAAAAAAAAAATATAAATATTACACATATATCAATACATGTGTGCTCTTGTGTCTGTGTATTTTATAAATTATGTTAAAAAAAAAAAAAAAAATACAATACTATCTCCTGATGTGTATGGAATTTAATATAAATTTTCGAAAAAAAATCTGTACCTGAATGCAAACCAAATTATACAAATATCGTTAATGCATATTAAAATCAAAAGTAAGTCTAATTTATGTATATTTGTATATAGTGTTACTCATTATTTGCATTTGTGTATATGTTTGTATCGTTATAGTGTCTCTCATTTCTAAAATTGTTTTTCATGGAAAATTTTAACATTTTGTGAAATATTTTTGTACATTGCATGCTTCAACTAAAGCTGTAGTAGTAACTGATGGTCTGAATCATTGTAAGATCTAAACTTTATAAAGAACGTATTGAAGGCTTTTCAAAAATTGAAAGTTCAAAAGCTATATTCGACATAAGTCCCTTCTTTAACCGCAAGGTACATTTAACTCTCCTCCTTAGGTTACAGTTTCCTAATTAATCCGTGGCATTATATGTAAAATGCAGTTTTATTTTTTTTAGATTTTATGCAGATACAGAATTCGACATATAGAAAATAATTAAATCAAAGTCGGCTAAATAATAGATTAGTAAAACAATGTTCGTCTATGTCCGAAAGAAGTAGTTCGTAGTTCGATTGCTGATAGACCCATTAACAGATCGTGCTTGCACAAACCCTTTTTAAATAGTATTAAACATTTGGGTGCCCTCCTTGCACATTTATTGTTGCAGGGAATATAGCAGGCTTACATCACTTTAGGGACAATTTTTAAAATTTTTATTTACGTAGCTTTACTAAGCATTCCCAAAAAGATACTTGTATTTACCGCAGTTTATTAACTATTTAATAAATTAAAATTTTTGAAAACTTCTTATTATTATGTAACAGATTATAAAGTTTTAAATACATAGAGTATATCCGACATGAATACAGGTAAAGTACGCTGATCTATGATATGTAAGCAAGTAGTCCCGTAAGGCTTACGTAAAATTTTTAGAAAGAATAAAAATAAACAATATTTTCTGTTGACATTCTTTGAGGAGGAAATAGTTCTGTCTAAGCTTTTTCACACACACTCGTGCGATATCCTACATATATGGGAAGGACGAAAGTAGTTGTACATGCAGATGCAAGCTAAAAGGCTTCACAGCAGAAAGATGTATTATGTAATATTGCTGGTTTGAGAAAGCCTTGCACAGAGCGAACACTGAAACAAGAAGCCCGCTATACATAAGAAAGTGATCGGACAGTCTTTGTCGGGCTGCGTTAAGGAACACTTACTGATAAAACAAAAATCGGAACATTGCCGAATTTAGTGTAGTTGAGCTGCTTCTTAGAAAATTTATTCTGAAAAAAATGCGCACAAAAGTGTGCACAAGGACAAGTGATGGAAGTGGCTTAACAAGAAATAGACAGGAATACTGCTGAGTTTAATACAGCTAAGTTGCCTTTCATAATAAGAGATAAGATAACAATAAGACAAAGAGCAAAAGGCGCACAGGAAGATGGCTGTATGTGGATAAATAATCGCAATGGCATGGCACACTGTAAGCCGAAACGTTACTTACTCTAACATAGTTAAGTTGTATTTAAAAAATCTTGCCCAGACAAAAAACGGCGCAACAAACCGATTGTGTACGGAGTAATGGTCTCAATGGTTTACTATGATATAAATCGAAAGACTTTTGCGCATAACACACTAGAGCCGTCTAAGAATATTTATACAGAGAGCACTGCTGGTACATGGAGAAGCGATATAAATAGCTTTAACAATTAGCAAGATATATTATATATGTTGTTGATCTTAACATAGTCAAGAACATATATTTGAGAAGAAAAGAAATAAGAAAGTCTGTAAAAAAAAGTTGTCTGTGCAAAAGCCGACTGGGTGGCTTGTGAGAGAAGCTATGAGAAAAATGAGTTGTTATACGCGAACTCATTGAGTTCGTTACGAAGGCAAAAAAAAAAAAAAAATCGCAAAAGGACGCTTGTACATGCACCAGTGAAATGAAGGTGTCAAACTGTAATAAAATATAATTCGAAGTTCTACGGTATTTGTAACAGTAGAGTAAATTTATTTGACGAAACCTTATCTGCGAACGGAATTCATTTCTTTAAAGTCAAAGGATCCATTTTAATTCATGGTCCTACAGCATAAGCTGAAACAAAGCAACTGGCAATTTGATTCTGACTTAGTTCAAATTGGCAAGAGTAATAATTGATAATATATTGGAATCTGTTTTTCATCCATTTTTCTTCAATAAGCTTTAGGCGTATAAACACTATATATACGTAAGGTTGTGAAGGGCCTTGTTTCTTTAGAAAACACATGCCCTTCTGTTCACAATAATTAGTTTGTCTTATTTTAATTTTCTCTGCTTTTTAAACCGACCAGTAGCCTTATATCGTACTTCATCAGTTATTTAAAAAAAAACGTACCTGCTTAAGCAACGAAACAAAAGAGAAACGAAAAAAGGAGGAAATTAGAATAGAGAGCTTGAAGGATATATCTTACATGATTTTAGTAACCCAACGAACAATTAGCGCGCTATAAAACTCTAGCCCTACTAATACGAGTTTTACTCCATACATTTCAAAACGGCATGTGTACCGGTACCGCAGCAATGATTCCAATATAATCAGTTGTCTGTAGATCGGTTTGCAAAGTTGCGAACGTCTCCTTTCGATAAATTCTTTAAGTTGAAACTGTTTTTTATAAGAACTATATTTAAATTACTGTCAACATCAAGCTAAGGTATGTTTTTCTTTTGTCGGATAGGAGAATGCGCGATTAGTCATGTCAGAAAAAAAGAAAAAGCTTAGTTCAACAACATGATCCGTTTTGCTATTACTTTGAAATTTCTGAGAACTTTCGTTAATGTTTAATTTTTATATATGTATACAAAAGGTATATTAAGCTTAGATTTCTTTTTGTTTGCATTCGTTACTTACCATCATTATCATTATTTTATACTATAGAATGTATTACTACTATTGCATTTTTTGTTGTGTAATATGGAAAAATTCAATTAAATAAACTTGGTTTCTATTCATTGCAGAATTGCGATAAAAACACTAAACAGAAACGGCATCGTACACGATTCACTCCAGCGCAATTAAATGAGTTGGAAAGATGTTTTTCAAAAACCCATTATCCCGATATATTTATGCGCGAAGAGATTGCCATGCGTATCGGTTTAACCGAATCGAGAGTACAGGTAAGTGTAGTAAAAACGGTAAATAAACATATTTAAGAAAAACTAAAAACTTTAGAAATAAAAAAATACTCACAAATTGTAGTAAAAGTAGGAACAATCGATTTCAACCAAAGCACAAGAGTGTGTTTATTATTCTAAGAAAGTAACCTAGTAAAACTTAATAATGACGCACATATATATTATGTGTGAGTTGAAGTTTCCACGTATACTATGCTTTGGTTTATAGTCTGCCATTAGCTTTAAATCCTGGTAGATTGATTTAGTATCAAACGTGTGTAAGCATAATAATGAGCTTAATGCTAAATATAGAGTTTAAGTAAATCTTTGCAGTTTTTTTGTAGGACTTTTCTCCTTTTTGTTTTTTTTTTTTTTTTTGCAACAACTAAAGGACTTAAGTTGTCAAAAATAGAAAAAATAAAAATAAAACACTAAACGTAAAATGTCAGTAAATTTTACGTAAAAGAAAAATAAGAAACATACTAACAACAATACAACCGAACCACAAAATAGTGTTAAAGTTAATTTATATGCTAATTTTATTAAACGTTACGAGCTGAGAGCCAAAGAGAAAGAGTGTCTATACATACGTGTGTGTATGTTCATGTGTGTATGTAAGGCAAGAATTATAACAACGGTCATTACAGTGGCAGTAGCACACTAGCATTTTCTATGGTTAATAGTATGTGTATTGTGTGTGTGTGTCTGTCTAAATTGTACTGTAAAGCCTTTTCAATGACACTTTAAGCCTAAAATCAAACATATTGCGCCGTAATGGACTAATAAACAAGAGGAATTAGACTTTACTCCCTTATGTTAGCCATAGCTTCACCAGGGTCATCCACCCACCACTTCTTTAACAAACATGTAACGTTTTAATAAAACAAAAAGGCTTACATTTTACCCCCAACTTTGAGTTTTGTGAGTCGGTATTGTAATAAAATATTAAAACAGATTTAGTCTAGAAATTAACAGAGATTTGCAATAATTAAAATGTTCGATCAAATTGTTAACGAAAGATGATAGAAACATTGTTGAATATTTTCAAAGAATTTTGAAATCTATTTTAAAACTTTGTACGTTGGGGTTTGAATGAGAGAATTTTTTAAAACGGGTTCGGTTTGATTTAGGGGAGCAGAGTAGCTTCTATCAAAAAGGCACTTCACATAACAAGGAGAATTTACTGCAGCCGTAACATTGAGGATGGGGTATACCTAAATAGGAACTTTGAATTATTAGGTGCATGCTGGGTACTACTAACAAATACGAACGCCTCGATATTATAATCGGGAAAGGGCACCTTTGATTTTATCGAGTGAATTGGATTCTTGATTAAGCCATGAGGCATTAGGTAATTCGAATAGACCATGTAGAGATTGATGTAACTTATAATTCATGCAGCATTACGAAAGCTTACGCGGGCCACAGGTTCTAGTGCGTCTGTTGGGAACGTGAGAACCGATCAGACCAAGTAGAACTGGCGAATTGCCAAAGTCTTTATATTGCAATCAAATTTTGCTTGAAGTCAGCTTTATGCTATTAAGAGTACTAAAGATTTCGAAAAAAAAAATAGTGGGAAAGAACAAGGCCTATGTAGCGAAACCGTTAAATGTTCCCAGCCAAATTCTTTCCACTTTTTTTTTTGTTAGCAAAGTTAAGCGACCTTAAAGCCATTCATTGAGGTAAACGCCACGAAATTTTGCGTTACATAATGCATTGCTAAAGGGCGTTAAAGTTAACGAGCACGGGTCGCCTTGTCCGATTCTACGATTTACGAGACTACCGATAAAAGTTATTCTCTATATGAAAAATTAACGCACCCGAACTGGTAGGCAAGCCAAAAGCCACAGACTTTCAGACACAGATAAATTATGGGTGTAGATTCATTCTTGCGGCATGTTGGTTATTATATCACTGAAATTGCTTGCGCGTTGCGAAATTTTAACAGAGTGTTTTTAGGCAATTAAATATACATGTATGTTTTTGTACAGTTATAAATATTCATTTCAGATAGGTATTAAATTTTATTTACCACAATTACAAAAAAAAAAAAACTGAAACAGTAAATAAAACAACAACTCTTGTAATTGAAAGGTCAGAAGAAACTTTTTTCTTTAGTTTTTATTGTGGGACCTTAAAAACTATTGAGAATTTTTTTCTATAAAATAACAACTTTGGACATTTATTTAAACCACACGTTTACCCACAAGAATTCCATTTTGTGAACGCACAAAGTCACATAAAAATCTTTTTTAAATCCTTTTTGATGTGTAAGGAAATCTTTAAAAATATCTCTCTGTTGGTTATAGAGTAAATTTAATGAAGCAGTAAATTTGATTGTCTCGTAAACAAATGCTCACCTTAAACTGACTGGAAAGTATGCTACAAGATATACGTGTGTATATAATTTACTGGGGTGGTGTGCCGCCTGGGTTTTACCTTGCGGTAAAACAAAAAAAAAAAATATAGAAAAAATAATTACAAACAAAAAACAAAGACTTGTGGATGTATGCTTTTATACGTACACATATCTATACCCAGGATAGTTGTCTATTTTTTTTATATTTCATTGTATGCTTTCGTTGGTTTTCTTTAAATAAGTGTTTACGAGCTTTAATAATGTTGGCTTTTGGGTCTTTTCCATAAACCCTAATAAAAGCCTATTTATAGGCAAAAAAAAGAAAATTTTATTTTTTTTAGGCAATATTTAAAAGCTGCGCAAAAATTTATTTGAAAATTCAAAACAGAAACGTTCACAGAAATGTGATACTATCAAATGCAGTTTTGTGAGGTTTTTGTGGTTATTCACTATACGTCAGTCCGTTCGGGTTATGCCTAACAATATCTATACGTAAAGCCTATCAATTGATTTGCTTTAGAATTGTTATAGAAATTGTTAACAGTTTTTCATGGATAACCACATATTGAGGTTTGTTGAACAAAAACCTTTTAGAAGAAAAACCAAAATGAACAGGAAATTGATGATTTTCGAACACCGTCCATTTAAAAGATATATGAAAATCACTTAGTGTCGTGTTAGTATTGAAAGTAACAAACAGTCGATCCTTAGATTATATTCTAGGTCACGCTTGGTTTTTGCTTAACGAACCCATCCCTTGTTATACCGATCATTTTCTAAATCGATTTAAGCCTTTCGTCCGTCCGTCTGCCTGTCCATCCAACGTTTTTGGCTTTTGTGTTTAACCTACAGATTACAATTTTCGAAATAGTTTTGATGAAATATGGTACGCCGGCATGCTCGAATCGAACCACTTTTTCAACTACTTTCAATATAAGGCTTGTATTGAAAAGTCGTTATGTGCATTATTGTGTCGTAGGGTGGAGCATTTAATGGCGGGCTGAGCCCCACTATAATGTTTTTACTTGGTTTTAGCTGGGTTTTGATAATTTCGAAAACGTGTTTATCCCAGCCTCGAATTTAATTTGAGGAAAACCACATCTTTTTCTTGTAATTTTGTATCGAAATTTACAGTGGAATAATTTTTTATTGCTAAAAAAGACATCCAATGACCGATCGGGCAGATCTAATACAAAATTTTATCTTGTTTGCGAATCTATATCACCTTCTATAATATTGTTACAAACCCCTTTTCTTTTTTGTTCGAGTGATGAATTCGCAAAAAAAAGGTATAAGTTACAAATGAGTTAATAAAACACTTATCATACGTAATAGCATGGATAAATCGATATTTTTACCGACGATATTAACATCAACCATTTACCAGCGCTCTGTTATAAATCTATCAGTGATTTATGGTCTTGTAATAACAGGCTATTAATGTAACATTTCAACACTAGTAATGAGGGCACATAATTTATCACGAGGCAAAGATAATTATGGAACTGACATATGGTAAGGACAGAGATAGAGTATAAAGTAAACAAACGCATACATGTTTCAAACAAGGTAAAGCAAAAGTTATATTCAGGGGATTTATTTTATTTCATAGAAAGAAATTACTAAGGAGCATTTTAAAGACTTTTTTCCATTAACTTCCCCCAGATATAAACCTTAGCAATACGATTTTTAATTCGGTTTACATATATTCGCCTCTTTTGTGTCCTTTTGGTTAAATGTCAGCTTAGAAAGTTTGAAAGTAAGGCCATAGATTTTAACAGCAAAACGTCTAGTCAGAGATAACTTCAGATTCGCAACAGATATGGGATATAAATGGAACTGGTGGATATTGACACGCATGAGTATAATTAACGTTAAAACGTAATAGTCGGGCGAATCCTACTACCACGCTTGCTAAACCAGATGTCGTATAGTATCAAAAATTATATTTATATTAACACATATATTTATTTATTTATTTGTTTGCTGCTACACAAAGGCATACTTTTAAGGAAAACTTACCACAGTAAATTTACATGCCAAATATTTTGTGCCAAATTGTCACCATAAATTTCTAAATGTCAGATTTTGCTGCCATATAACGGCTTACGTTTTGTAGTCTATTCGCCATCACTTTCATTTTTTGTGCGAAAAGAGAAGGCGGCTAACATTTACATATTGCATCGCTTAGGATAAAGCTTGTATTCAGTATATGCAGATTTATGCAGCAACCAGAAGAGCATAAGATAGGTCTGCCTTTTTTTATACCAATCCATTCAGAAGCATTTCCTCAGTACCTTTGGAATTATTTTCTGAATAAATGTATGTACTTCTGCCCGTTTGCACTTGTCTGTCTGATGCCTCTTCTTCTTGTGCTCTATCCACCGGTCGCTATTTTTGAGATTTTTTGATACTTTGAACTTCGACACCCTAACTTATTTTCGCCTAGGCTTTTTGCTTCTCATACAGCTGTAGTCGTATTCTGCGAATTTCCCACTTACACAATCATCTAACCATAATTATGACCAGTAAGATGTAAGTTGTTCATAATGTAGTACTTTTTTGGGTAAATATAATACAAGCCTGAACAATCCTAAAGCATCTTTGTGAATTTAGCAAATAAAATATATAAATGGTTGCAGAG